TTGATTTAGGTCAAGTGACAGCATTTTCTCAACATAGTTGGCTATGCTGATCAGCTCCGGCGAGGCTGCAGGGCCCTGGATGTAACAGTGTCTTAGATGATGGATCAGGGAAAAGAGAGAGATTACAATCTGTGAGCATATTTACCCTGCTCCCTGCTCCAGCACTTCTCTGACAGTTACTTCCATTTGTGTTTTATCCAGTCTGACTTCAGATGATTCCAGCAGTGGGAATTCCATGTTTCATATTTACTCTGAAACTTCTCAAAAGTGAAGGATTCTGTCAAATTTCAAAGCACCAGAACCAATTTTAAATCCAGCTTGTTCTTCAGTGTAGACAAGAGCCTGGAGACCACGACTTTTGTTATCACTCTGCTCTAGGGCTGCCTCTCTACCTTTGTGGTTACAGGAAATATTATGGGTCCTAACGCACCATGTAATAACTCTCTTCTTCCAGCCAGGTTAGATAAGGATTGAAATATTTAGACTAATTTTCCTAGTAAAAATATGTCTAAGCTCAGCGTTCCCAGAAAGAACCAGCAAATGTTGATGCAATCAAAGCATGTTGAGTTATAAGCATAAAGGAAGAAGAAGAAAAAAAAAGCAGCAGGAATTTGGATATTAACTTATATATGTATGTTTTTAATTTGTTTCTAATCAAAACAAAGCTCCTGCTTCTCTGACAGGAACCGGATTGTGAAATAAAGGCTGTTTCCCTCCAAGTGCATGTGTCACGCAGCCAGCTTGTGGGGGCACTGGGAGACAGTTGGCAAGAGAAGATGCTTCGGGAGCGATGCAGACTTGAGCGTGCAGTTCCTATGAAGGGAATGCAGAATGGCAGCAGCTCAAGGAGCAAATGTAAAGGCCATATAAGGGAAGCGAATGCACTGCTGTAGAGATGCCTTTAGTAAAGCAAGCACTGACTTGGGGACCTTGGCATATACCACTGACGAGAAAATTGCATGAATAAATTCATACTTTGCCCTAGGTTTGCAAAGTCAGTTTTAGCTGAGTGACTGTTTACATGTGTGGAACAGAAGTTTTTTCCACAGTTATTATAAAGCCAAGTAATTTCTACCAGTGTATAACCCCAACACATGCCTATTTTAGACGCGTTTATCACTGTTTTATTCTAACCCTTTGGCTCGAGCACAGCAGGGCAAGTCTTCAGACAACATCATGCTCAGCAGCAGCGCTCCCTTTCTCCCTTCCCCTATGCAAAGAGCACAGTTCAAGTCTCACAACACCAGCCTGGGATCCCTGTCATTTCAAGAGCAGATAAAATGAAGCAGCAGGAGGTAACGCACTTGACGGAGCCAAGTGCTGGCCGAGGGCGGGAGAGCAGGAGATGGAGAAGGTCTGTGTTTATGACAAGGCCAGGCAGCGCCATGCAGAGAGGGAGCAGGAGAGCTGGTGTACTTTCGGGGTGGAGGCTTGGCAAGCGATTTGAGGGGAGGGTGCTGGAATGGTATGCTGCAGAGCAGGCTGCACCTCTGCACTTTGAGAAAGTCATCCTGGCCCCTTTGCTGTAAGTCACTCCCCCTCCCCAGGCACATCTATATTCTTAATTTAGTGTGGATCAAGGGCACGTTTTTGGAGCAAAACTCCTCCTCATCCTCACCTTTCTTGCTGTGGTTTACTGTGAGGAGGAGTGCACGAACTGGCCTCTTTTTGGATGAAACTACCCCAGAAAAAGATGCTGTGGGAGTAGGAGGGACCCGGTAAGCTCTGAGTGCTGATGAGCATTCAGTGCATAGGGCTGGACTAGAGCGAATCTGAAATGAAAACTCCAGAATCATTTGAATATTGGTCCAGTTCAGAGCACAAACTGATTTGCTGTACAGATCTGAGCAGTGAGGCACGTTACCCACATACATAGATGTATGCCATGGGGGGACAGATATTCCGGAGGGATTCCTGCATTGCCTCCTCTGTGAACCATATCCCTGCAGACGTCTTTGTGTTGAGCCTATATTTAACCTACATCTCTTCTTCTATTTGAAGCACTTTTCCTTGAAGAATATGCTTTAAATGTTTAGAGAGCTAGATCTCACTAGATAACTTTCCAATCCATTTTTTATCCCGTGAGTAAGTGCACATTTTCAGTAGTGTTCTGCTTTTAGGACTGCATTATGGGGGAGAAATAGAGTCTTATTAAGAAGATAAAGCGTCTTTGTAATTTAATTCTGAATATGACTGTTGTTACTATTACATGTTGTAAACACAGGCTAAGCGCAATAAACCTCCCTTCCATTTAACATTAATAATACTAATGATCAGCACTTAAATCACACGCCATGTTCCAGGACTGTAAAAGAAACACTTCCGAAGAGCTTTGGCCCGTCTGGTGCAGACACCATTTACTCCCTTCTTCCCGCAGGGATCTACCCCATGCCCAGGGTGATGGAGAGGAGAGGGGGGCAGCCCCTGCCCCGAATTCCCGCGTTTGGGAAGCGTCTCCGCGCGGGCGGGATGAGCTGCTCGGAACGCGGGTCACATCGGCGCACGGCAGCTCCCAAACTCTTGTGCCCGGAACGCTGCATGGGCACCCCCGGCTCTTCCTCCTCTCTGCATCCCCGGCGTCTTCCTCGCGCCCCTTTCCCTGCCCGCCGGCCCCTCGGCCCCCGGTCCCGCCCGGGGAGGCGGGCGGAGCGCGGCGGGAGAGGAGGGGGCGGCGGAGCGCGCGGCTCCCGAGCCAGGAATCGCACGGGGATAGAGGGGAAGGCGAGGAGGAGGGAAGGGAGGGAGGGCAGGGGAGGAGGGCCGGGGCCGGCGCCGGGCTGGGGAGCGTCCCGGGTTCCGCCCCGAGCGCCCGCGTCGCCTCCGCGCCGGCAGCGGAGCCCGCGGCCCCGCGCCCATGCGCTGCGCGGAGCGGCGCGGAGCCCCGCGCGCAGCCGGTGAGTGAGCAGCGAGCAGCGAGCAGCGAGCCCGCCCGCCGCGGTGCCCCCTCCCTGCCGGAGCCCCTTCCCTCGCGGAATCCCTGCTCTCCCGGAGACCCTTCCCTCCCACATCCTCTTCCCCTCCCGAGCTCCTGCTCCTCCAGGACCGGAGGGCTGCTCGGCTCCCTCCTGTCTCCCGGGCGCCCTTCCCCTGCCGGATCCCACTATCCCACCGCTTCCCCTGCCCTGCCAGACCTTCCGCTTCCCGATCCCCCTTCCTGGACCCCACTGCCGTCCTGGACCTCACTGCCGTCCTGGACCTCACCCCCGTCCCGGACCTCTCTGCCCTGACAAACCTTCCCTTCCCCGATCTCCCTTCCTGCTCCCCTGCTCTTCTCCCGGCTCCTCTGCCTTGCCGGACCCACGGGCTGCTTCCTGCCTGGATACCCCTGCTGTCTCATCCCCTGCTCTCCCAGACCTTCCTTCCTCTGAACCCCGCTCCTGGGCCAAGGGGACTGAGGGGGAGCTTTCCTGTCGTGGACTTTGTTCCCTCTCGGACCCCTGCCCTCTCAGACCTTCCCTTCCCAATACTCCTTTTCTTCTGAACCCCATTCCCTTTCTGGGCCCCTTCCCCTCCTGCCCTTCCCTGCCTGGCTGTCCGGTCCAGTGCGTCGTGCCTCTGTGTCCCTCCCTTTCCACCCGTTGGGGCTTGGTTTGGGGTGGCAGGGACCAGCTCTTGGGACCTTCCATGTAATCCTTTATTCCTAGCCCTTTCACTCTGATGACTGAGGGAAGGACCCTCTCTTAAGTGCCGAGCCCTGCTTAGGCATTTGGTGCTATGCCAAGATATGGGCAGATCCTCCTCCAGAAGATGCCTCTGGAGGGATGGAAGCACCCGATGTCCCTTTCTAACTTTTTGTCCTGAGGGGGTTGGTTTTTTGCAGGTTGAAAAGTCTACAGATGAGGCTGTGGCTGCAAACAGCCCAGCATGTGCTTCTTGAGAAGCGGCAGGGCCTTTTCCAGCCTTATAGAACAGACTTATTGTTCTTAGTGTTTTAAAAGTAAACAAAACTTTTGTGTGGTGCATAGGCTTAATTTCACTCATGGACTTTTTACCTATGTTCCTTCCTTCCACAGACGTAGTATTAATTTTATTGCTGTACAAGAATTGAATCCACTGATTGGCATCTAATCATGCTTAGAAAAAAGCCTCTGTAAATAGCTATCAGAATTAATTTGGCAGTCACTCTGAGAAATGATCATAAATTTACAAATGCAGTTAGATTTACACTTAATGATCCAGCTTGGATTTAACAAGAAATAAAAGCCCAACCTCTGGAGGTAGCATTTATGTTTCTATAGCAGCCAAAGCTGCTTGGTAGCTCCGGGACTGGGATGTCCCAGATCTCCCAGGGAAGGAGGCAGAGGACTTGGGAAGCCTGGCTTTGGCCTGGGAAGAAGCAAAGAAGAAAGAGAGGAGACTGGGCTGAGTGCAAACAGGAATAGCAAGAGAGACCTGTATTTTAAGCGTATGCTGATTGAGGTTGGTTGGGGATGAACTTGAAAGCCTCCACCTGCCAGAAGCCCGTCTGGAGCTCCAAGTTCTTGACATGTTTGACCATCAAACAATATTCAGATGGTTTTGGCCCATGGGAAAACCAACAAATTAGGGGAAAGCTGGTGAAAGAGCCATCCTTTTTCACAATGGCCTGATTCTGAAAATCCTCAGGTACCACAAACCGTTTTGCACTGAAGCTGAGGATCTGTATAGATGATGTAAAGTAGGCTCCCAGGGTGTTGCAGGACAAAGGCCCAGCTGCCTAAGGACAAACGAAGCGCTATTTTCCCTCTTGTTATGGGACAGATCAAGACATAGAGTGGAGAAAAGTGACCAGGCAAGAGCTCAGGGAGCCCCTGAAGGTGGAAGTCCCAAAGCTCCTTCCCACCAGCACTGCCACTGACTGCAATTTTAGTGGCTACTTGCAGTAATGGGACAGGAGTGTGATGCCTTAATGAAAAATGCTAAAGGAATTAAAAACACTGTGGCAGATGCACATTTCTTTTTAATTATATCAATGCTACTGAAGTTTTTCTCTCTTTTTTTTTTTTCCGGTGCTTACTCAGGGACCTTTGACTTCATGATGAGAGAAAACATCACCATGGCTGTTAAGATCTGTGTTTCTCCTGGAGCGAGGGGGATTTATCAAGGCTGAGAGACTCTGGATTATCCTTAAACCTTCTGTGAAATACATAGGTGCCTCCCTCTCCCTGCGTTGTGAGCAGTCCCGAGTGCAGCTACCAAGATGGCATCCAGCCTCACCTGTGCTGGCATAATCTGGGCCTTCCTCTCCTTCCTCTGTGCTGCTGCCTCCTGCGTGGGGTTCTTCATGCCCTACTGGCTATTGGGGTCTCAGCTGGAGAAGTCGGTTTCCTTTGGCACTTTCCGGAGGTGTTCATATCCCGTGCGGGACGAAAGCCTCCAGACGACCGTGATGGTGGAGCAGTGTGGCCGCTACGCCTCCTTCCAGGCCATCCCCAGCACCGAGTGGAGGATCTGCACAGTGGTGACGGGGCTGGGCTGCGGGCTGCTCCTCCTGGTGGCCCTGACGGCGCTCATGGGCTGCTGTGTGTCTGAGCTCATCTCCAGGAACGTGGGCAGGATGGCAGGAGGCATCCAGTTCCTGGGGGGTAAGTGCTACATTCTCCATTCTTGTGCTGCGGGGGGACACGGAGATACATTTGGGCTGTAGGTTGACAGGTCTGGACGCCTCGGTCCATCTGACAAGAACAGAGAGTCACTGAAACTTTCTGCTAGGTAACCAGACCTTGGCTATATTGACCACTGATGGGGCTGCTTGTATGTCTGAGCATGGCCCAAAGACTTGCCGCGACCCGAGGTCACTCCCCAGCACTTAAGTCCTGTATAATCTTTGGGAATTGAATACCAGATCCAGATTGCTGAGTGCCGCACTCTGTGGCAAAGGCCGACTTCTGTAGCTGCTCTCTTCGTGATGTTTTTCCAGGCTGCAGATCTTGGCAGAGCTCGGCTGAGATTGATTTACCTGGAGAAGCGTGGGGGCTGCAGAGCCCCCGGGAGCGCTGCAGAGACCGTGTTACTGTGCAAACAAGCCGGCCTTTCCCTCTCTCCTTCCCCTCTCACCATCCGCGCAGCGCCTCCACCCCTGCTCTCCGTGGGATGCAGACAGGTCTCAAGAGGGGGATGTTCTCCCCCGGCAGCGGTGGCCCGCGGTCACAGGAGGCTCGGGGCTTGTGACCGTGGCCTGATGAGCCCTCCATCCTGGTGAGGCCAGCACAGCTCCCCCAGCTCTGTCCCCATGGGTGGTGATGGCTGTCGAGCACAGTGACCCTGTCCCCTCACCCTTCCCGCAGCCCCGTGACCTGCCCACGTTCCTGCCTTTAATTGCGTGGGCAATTGGAAAAATGTGGTGGCTGCTCCAGAGTTAGCTCTCCTGGAAACAGGTGCTTTTTGAAGCCACCTCCGTTTTGAAATCTCCCCAGGGAATTCAGAGCAGGAAGGACCCTCTGTGACCCTGCTCAGTCTGGCCATTTCCACTCACAGCAGTCGTTGCCCCTGCGTGGCTTTAAGCACCCCACATGCCAGCTCTGCTCACCTGGTTTGCATTTGTGTTTGGTCCCGTTTTTGTGCCTGTGCTCCCCGCTCTGCCCGCTGAGCCAGGGCAGTGGGGTGCAAGGTGACACGTGCCCCCGTCGTGATGCTCTCGTGGGCTGGAGGACACGTGGATGATGAATCGTGTGCGAGGAGCAGAGCAGCCGCTTTGGCCCATGCCTGGTGGGACTAGTGAGCATGCTGCATCCAGGAGGGGTCGTGAGCATTTAGGGCTTATCTGCTGCAGGTGACAATTCGAAAGATGTGTGGACTTGTGATATGAAACTAAAACTGCCAAAGACTTTACTTACAGCTCAGAAATTATTTACACAGCATGTCTAATTTTCCCCTCTACTGGGCTTTATGGTTGTCTCTCATTTCACTCTGCACTGCTGGAAATGTGTAAGAAATGAACCAAGTGAGAAACCATCCTTCCTCAACCTGCCTAAAAGCAAACTGTGGAGGCTTTAGGGGAGGCCAGGGGGTGCAAGCCAATAATGTGGATGCATTGAAGGGACATATTAAGGTAAAGATCAGTTACTTACATCCTTAATAAGTTCCTTACATCCTTATTAAGATCTTTACCTGCTGTAAATCAATATAGCTATACATCGATATAGCTATAAATCAATATACCTTCACTGTTTAAATGACATGACTGCATTTATTCAAATGTCTAACTTAGGCATTATAATTATTGGGTTACTTTCTGTCAAGATAGTCACGAGCTGTTCAGATTCTTTACTATCTAGCAGTGTTGGGACTTAGTTCCCTATGCCATAGGTTTCAGTTTGCTTATGCTGTCCACTGGGTGTGCTTTGAATAAGGTCAGTGGCACAGTGGTGATTGTCATTTTCTTTTGTTATGAATGAAATATCCAGGGAAAAGGTAATGCCATTGATCATCCTCTGTGCCTTTCACCTTGGATGGACAAGAAGGGGCAGTTTCACTTTCTGTTTCTTTTTCATCTTAGTCACTTGGACAGTGACTAAGGCACAGTGTTGTGGTTCCTGCAGCAGGGATGACTGTTTGTAAGAAATTGTGTTTCCCTTCAAGTTAGGCACCAGCCTAAGAACACTCTGGGTGTAGCTAGTTTACATTTCCAGTGGTGTTCCATTATTCTCAGTAATCTTCTTAACATGATTTTAAAACATAGTCTTGATTAGGACAGATTATTAACAGTGCCTTTTTGTGGGAGACCCAAGGTTCGGTGAGATGTAGAATCATCTATGGTTGAGGTGAAGTGAAACACTTAAGGTTGCTAAAAATAGTGCTACTCCAACACTAGGAATATTTTTACTACTGTTAAGAGGTGGCAGAGAAGAGGTAAGCAAACAACCTGATCCTCCTCTTCTAGCAGTGGAAAGGAGAAGTAACTCCAAGTAGGTCAGTGGAATAACACCTGTATAAAAGCAGCGTAGCTTGCACTAGCTCAATCGTGCCAAGTTTTTACAGCTGGGATTTCCCCAAGTTGTATGTGGCAACTGATGTGAGTGAATTATTCATGAGCACTTACACCATAAATCTGCGCTTCTTATAAAATTTGAATGCCAGGAACTGCAAGAAGCTGCAGATCTGTGCAGAGCCAAGAGAGCTGCCTAGATATTGGCTGATCTTACATATTTAGGCTATATTTACTGTTTCAGCTAATCCCGAGTATAGTACATATATATTTTTAAGATGACTCTGGGATGATGTGTACTGAGTTTTTGTTTCTAATAGAGAGATTGCGTTGTAGACTTTTCCTCCCATTCGCAATTATCCGAACCACTTCCTTTCCCATGTATGATCATGTGACAGCTCTGCAGCTATTATAGCAACTGTTTACATGAAGAAGCAATGTTATTTTTATCATCTTCTCAGTCAGTTTGGCAGCAGGCAACAAAAAGTAAGCAACACCCTAAGGCCAGACTTTGTTGACTGTCAGAGGTCTGCAGACCATAGCCCACAACTCCTGCTGCAGTATCTCGGGACATGCTTCAGAAACGTTTCTGTTGGATTATTTCAAAGAACTGACAACTGATGCGAAAGTTATGCTGTCTGTAACCTCTTGAGGGCACAGTTATGTAGATGGATAAAGTCTCCACTGATAACAATAAGTGCAGTGTTTCCAGCTGGTTTGCTTTGAATGTTTGGAAGATTGAAGCATATATAATGCAGCTGAAACAGATTGCAGGGATGTATCTTCAACTGTAGCTATTGAGGGCATGATGGTAGGAAGTGAAGTTTAACAAATCTATGGCAAATTGGACTCTGTAATTATTGATCTTCTTTCTGCTGTGCCTTGGCAAGTCAATTCCACTTAAACGGGGACACTAAAAATTTGCAGGTATGTGACTCAGATATGACATTCTAATTTGGTGAATAGTTTCACGCTCTGAATGCAGAGCAATAATTTTAAGAACATAATGAACTTAAAGGTTAGCCCATTTTATGAGAGGCAGTGGATCAAAAGCTACGAGGATTGCAAGGATGGTCAATTTAAAGCACATTATGCTAGCAAGGTGAAGCTTTCCATTAAAATGGTCAGCACACAGGAAATATAGATGAAGTCTGCAATCGCTCCAAACTCCCTTTGTCTCTGTAGGATCATGAAGGCAAACTGAAAGGGTTATGAATCTAAGGGAGCAGAGCATGAAATAACCTGCTGGCTTAGACACCTCTCCGGATCTGACAGTTTGACCCTGATTCTGAGAGGAACATGAGAAATGAGCACTCTTGTTTATTCTGGTGCAGCCGCGTGGTTTGTACTGTCTTCTTCAGCATCCTCACTCACTGTTTGTACTTAAGCTGAGTTTTGCTGCTCTGTTAGTCAAAGAAGCAAGCTTTGCAGCAGCACTTCCTTTTTGCTCTTTCTTGTTTTCCTTGTATCTCACCAAGTACTAAAGCCCATGTAATGATGGTCCTCGTAATGCTGATTAGAAAATCTGGAGAGCTCTTGAAATGTGGCATGGTGAAAGGAGCATCCAATTGTTTGAGTAAAAGAGGATGCAGGTCCCAGTAACTTCTGATTCCCTCTCAGAAAAAAAATACAGTCTGTTATTAAAAGCTCTCAGCATCATACAAAATCACTGTTAAAGTGCTTCTCCAACTGTGCTGTCCCACTAGTGGCCATAGTAGTTTTCACCATCCATGTCCTGATTTGGAAGAGTACTTGCTGGATGTGGAGGGCAGAGGAATAAGGAGCTCCACTGAGATGAGAATATTGGCTTAAGGGTGACAGTTCTGTGTTGCTTGTAGAACAGCCCTTTGAGATTTTAGGCTGGAAATTTTAAGAAGACAGATCCAAAGGACATTTTCAGGTTTTTAGCTTGCTAGTGGCCAAATCTGACTTTGCAGTTGAGATGATCAATGTCTAAAATAAAGGGAGAATAGAAAGGAAGGCAACTAAGTCACAGACAAGTGGGACCATGTAGAGGTGCTATCTGTCAATGGACATGCATCGAGAACAGTTAAAAAAGAGAAGTTCTTTGAAGACATGGAGGTGCTGAACCTAAGGGACAACTACATTTGAGAAAATATAGCTGATGGTCAAAATATCATGGTGTCCAAGAGAATGAAGGCAGTCTTGGTTCAGAAACCAGCTGAGAAAAAGTTATTCAGGGCTTTGGTGAGAATAGTTCCAGTTGACTATGTGGAATGGAAGCTGTCCTGGGAAAGGCTGTGTGTGGCATGGAAGAAAGGAGCCGCAGGCAGTGACTGGGAACCGTTATTTTCTCTGACAGACAGAGCGAAGCTCTGATTTCTACCCAGAAGACTAAGGTCAGTGTCCCTTTCTGCCCATAGGGTGCAAATGCAAAGGAGAGGAGCCTTGCAGGTGGCAGGGAGGAGATGTGACAGTCAAGGGACTTTCAAGGTGGAAACGGTTGCCAAACTCTTCTGTAGTTCTGCCAAACGTGTCTCATTCATTTCCTCCACCTTCTCAGCTTCCTCCCAACTATTTGTACCTGAGGGGGGGGAAAGAAAAAAGCATAAACTCATTAAAAATATCATTTTTATCCTCTTTGGCCTCAAAGTATTTTTCAAAAGAGTAACTTAAGCTACGCAGCTTAAGCCAGTG